TTTCTAGAGCAGGCTCTTTATTTGTTTTGTGCGTACAGTGACTGTTTGGGCATTTTGGGTTATTGAACAGTTTTAGAAATTTAATGGGTTTTTAAATAATTAGTTTAACATGTAACTAAGGTCTTGAATTGCATAAATTTACCCCTTAGTTTTAATAAAATTAATAGTACGTTATTTGACAACTTTGCGTGCAGTTAACGTCTGGAAGGAGATTTACTGACTAATTTTAATCTGACGGTTTAGGGTGCTATAAAATGATTCTAAATTTATTTAAAATGCACGGTGAAGTCTTTTAAATTGATAAATTAGACTTGTGGCATAGTGTGTGGCTCTGTGCCAAAAGATACAACAGAATATAAGTATATGACTTAGTACACTGTTACCGGATGGAAGGAACTAAATCGCTTAGTTTAGCGATTTATTGGACTATAATATTATTATAGAACTTATTTTAAATACATGATAGGGTCATTGTTTTATTAAATTTGAACTATGCATGTTTTGAATGTTAATTGTTAGAATATTTAATTCTTCGATGCAATTACATGGATTAATACTGGATTTTAATTGCCAGTTTGTTAATCTTCTTTCTACAATTATTTGGATATTAGTTTTGGATTGTAAATTACTGAACTGTTATATATATGATGTAATTTACAAGGATATAGAGGATTGTATGCTCCGGTATGGGACGGTGACATACTGGGAACGGTTTAGCTCAAAACGCCTAAACCTAACCTAACCGATTAAAGGAATGGATTTATAAATATTAAATCCTAATGTTGGTTTAAGGCATATCAACTGTAACTAAGTTGAGTGGCTTCCGGGATTAATGGATGGTAGTTAAGTCATATCAACTGAATAAGTTGAGTAACTAACTAGTTGGTTTATTGTACGTCAGTTTAATAAATAGTTGAACTACATACCCTGGTTTTGGACGGACTTTATATATATGTTTATGGTACCACGAGTTGAGCTTGAGTCTTAGACTCGTTGGTTAGGGTGCGTATATGTAGTGGATGCGTAGCTGGTTATAATTGGTTGAGGTGTACCCTGTTAGGTCTAGGTACTCATGCCCACCTTTGGGTGCGTATTCGCATGTTGCCTTCTATTCAGGTTGAGATCCCTATTATAGACCAGTGAATGTCCCTTAGTGTGGATATATTTATATGTATGGACTAGATAGATATTGTGAGGTGTCTACGGTGTATCTGCGTATCGGGTCACTGTATGGATTGCAGTTAGATTAGAACTTGCTCGTGGGTCTGACCCACTCCTTTATTATTCTTTTTAGGTACAGGACGATTCCAGCCTTAGAGCTTGATCGTGCTTGTCGAGGACAGTCTCACATTCATTTGATTACGTAGGACTTCTCTCGATGTTTCTAGCATTATCTATTTTCAGTTTCAGTTTCAGTTGAGCTTTTGGTAGGGGTCCACTAGTGGATTCCCAAGTTGTAACCTTGAAGTTTTGGAGGATTGGAGTTTTATTATTCAGTTATACATGGAGGGTTTTATAATTAATATTTCTTTCAGCTTTATTCTATTTTTATTATTTCATTTTGTCATCTGTATTCGCTTTAAAATACTTAAATTGTTTGATTTCCCATCGGGTTTGGGCCTGGGCCTGATCAACCCGTGTCTCAGATCCGAGGGGTATCACACAGCGTAACCACATATACACACACAAGTCCATAACAAAACTAATAATACAATCAATGTTTATGCTATGAATCTACTCCAAACCAATCCCATGATCTCATCCTACACACAATAGGACTACACAAATCCACACTAGCGACCTCTAACTCTAAATGACACAAGTCTACCGTTTGTCCACCATTTGGAACACTAACTAGCTATCCCTGGCGTAAGACCACCGCTCATCCAACCATTTGGGGCCTAACTACCGAAATCTCGGAAGTAATACCACTGCTTGTTTTCCGTCCATCACAACTTCACTTACTTGAAATCTCATCATTCTCACATTTCATCCTATATAACACATTATCTACCTAATACATGCATAATGAATGCTAGCATGTATGCTCTATTTGTTAACTTAACAATGAACAATGTTTTAGCTAACATCATGAATTTAGGATATAATCAAATACTCACATAACCATATTATATATACATGCATTTATAACACAATTTTAACATTTGGCTTCACATAGTCATTTTGCCAACGCTAAGCATAATTATAAGTAATAGTGCAATTATCATAAGTAAGCATGCTAGCAAGTTATCCAAATAATCACTTTAGCGTATAAATTGGTACAAATTCATCATGCTAAGCATTCTAACAAATCTCTCCACATAGATGACATGTAATAAACATTATTAAGCACCACATAAAGCATGGAGATAACATGAATTTTCATATATTCAATCAAATTTCTACAACAAGAATATATAGCATGCTATATCATGAAATCAATACATAAATACTCACAAAAACTCCAAGACTCTATGAATTAGACACCCCTATCTCTTGAATGCACAAATCCTAACTTTGACTCCTTGTGAAACTCCTCCAAAATGCAAGTTATGGCTACTAAAATAAAGAGGAGGAGAAAGAGACCAGCTTTTCCTCTTGAAGCAACCCCAAAAGCCTCTACCCTTGCCTTGGTCGAAATCTCAAAGTGCTCCAATAGCCCCCAAAATCATCTCATCTTGTAGATCAAGAGATGTTCTATAACTTTTCTAACAACCCCTCTTCCGAATCCAACCTCTAGGAATTCGTAAAATCCCAAGGTGGTCAACTCTCTAATTTCTTTCTATGAGTGTGTAAAGGAAAAGGAAAGGAACAACTTTTCCTTCATGGGTACACTCAAAATTATGGGTTAAGGGCCTCAAATCTAAGCCTTTTCAACCTTATACACAGAGGTTGATAAATGGTTAGATATATAGAGAGAAAGTGTACGTGAGAAAAAGATGATGAATAGTCCCAAAGTTTGCCAAACATTTCATATATATAGTCCCACACAACTTTCTTCTACTTACGCCACTTAACCCCAAATTTCTATAGCAATTACTCCCTTTCTCCAAGAAACTTTTATGGAATTACACTAAGGTAACAACCCACCGGAAATAAAACAATAATGCCCTCTAACGGCCTTTCATTTAACCCCTGGCCATTTCTGCGTAATCGGGTGATCCCAAACCCACATGGGACCTCCCAATCCAAAAATCTAAAAATGACCACAATGAACTCAAACTAAACCCGAAGAAACACCCCACACAACTTCCGAAAACATCGTGGCATGCATCCCTGTGCACGACTAAAATAAAAAGAAAAATGGTTGAAAAATACCGAAAAATTCAGGACGTCACAGACTGCTAAACCCTTGTGGAGTAGTTTCTTGATACTTATGCTCTTTCCTTTTTCTTCTATTTTCCCTTTTTTTTTTTCTTTTTTTTTTCTTCTTTATCACAAGCCCTAATTTTTCATCTTTTAAAGTAAAAATATTTCAGATTTTTCAAATTTTCTTCTTCCTCTTTCTCTTTTTCTCGATAATGGAGATTTTAGTTATGTAACAAGTCCTTTGTTATAGAACTCATTTCAAGCTCTCTCTCTCTCTTTAACCCTAAATTTGATCCCGTTTGTTTTACCTTTACATGTAAGATATTAAACATATTTTCAGTAGGAGAAACCCTATCATGCTGAGGTTTTGTGTTTAATTTGTCTTAGTACTAATAGTGAGAGAATTATTTGGATCAATTTGCTTGATTTGTGGTTATGTAAATTGCAAGGGTACCGCTTCTAATCAGATTGGACATCCGATAAGGTGATTATCAGATATGGATTGCCTAGGTAAAAATCCGTCGGATTATTGGATTGGACTGCTCATTGTGCTTATCAGATTCGGATCGGGTCGACCATGATCCGGTCCGAATCCGATCCGTTGACAGGTCTAGCAGTATATACTCTTTAATATCTTGTAATAGTTATTAGAAGATATGTATCCATATTTTATCATGTATTTGAAGAGTTGTGAGAGCTATATTGGTCCAAGCAAGGGTGCTTAGGATAGGGGAAGTGCTATGTGCACAAAGGTGAGTTAGAGTGTGTGCAGAGTGTGAAACAACTGTATGTGTATCAACTTGCATACAACGAGTGGATGATTTTGGGTAAAGCTCACAAGTTTTTTTTTTAATCTCAATTGAGGGGTATTTTTCTTGTAAAAACTTGGAGTCTTTGTGGTTGTGAATTTCATCAAACACTTATCACAGATTAAGGTTTCATGAAATGGTTTAATCTGTGAATGGTTTAAGATTGCTATGGTCTTTATATCATATTATGAAAAGTGTCTAAGCATTCAAAAAGAGGAAGAACCAAGTCTTGGTTCATCAATAATAACTTTGCAGGAAAAGATGATAAGTGGAATGGACTGTCTTGGGCCGACTTAATTAATGGGCTGCCCAAACACACCTAACAATTGAAATCCGAATATAATCCGCTCAAACAATCCCTAATAATGGTATCTCTGGTGTAACAAATTGTGATCGGGTAGAGACGCCATGTAACGTTTAATAACAAAAAAATTTAAAAATTGAATGAAAATTAGAAAAAAAATAAAAAAATTTTTACCAAATTTGATTAATTTATTTATATTTGAAAAAAGAAAAAAAAATCACAAAATATAATCTCCAATGAAATCCATGGCTGGGATTTTGATGAATCGGATCCTTTCAAATTTATCCGAGCTCCACATGGAAGGCCACCCCAGTAAGGACTTAAGAGGGAGCAAGGGTTCAAGGCCCACAGAGAGAGAGCCCCAATCAATCGCTTTAAAACACTAAGGCCGATAAGGAAGTGTTATTTGGTGTTTTGAGCCCACACATCACATGTTCTTTCCTTCCAAAAAAAACGCCAAATTGTTTCTTTGCTTTTTTTTTTTAAGTAGATGATGATGTGTTTTTATTTTTATTTTTTTTGGTTAAAAGTAGATGATGATGTTGTTGTTGTTGCTGTTGGTATGCTATTGGGTTGAGATTTTTACGGTCAACAACAAAATCCAGAGATAATGAACCCCTCCGTAATCCCTATACGGTATACCTATCTATTTAAGTGGGTAAAGTAAAGCTGAAGCCTAAAATTAAAGCCAAGCAGAGTGTTTACTAGTTACCACCTCTAAACGAGCCCTCTCTAAAAAAGAAAAAAAAAAAAAAAAAAAAACCATTTCATTTCTTTTCAATCTTATTTCAGCAATTGAGGTTTGTTTCTCTTTCCTAGCAACTATCTGCAGCACAGGTATTTGATTTTTCCTCCCTCTCTCTCTCTCTTTCTAAAAGTTGCCATTTTCTCTCTCTTGTTTTACTTGGGTTCAGTTCTTCATGTTCTAGGGTTGATATTCTTCTGTATCTTTGCTCCACCTGTCTGTGGCTCATCGTAGAGGACTCTAATTGTCTATTTTATTGCCTTTGCTTTCTCGATTTTATTTTTCTTTGTCAGACACTTTTTGTTCCTGTGTGTGTTATTTCGGCTTCCGTCAATTGATCTTTTGCAAGAAATAAATAAATAAAAATTGATCTTTTACACTTCAACTTTATGCAACCCACATTTGTTAGATTCTTAATTTCTGTGGCTAATTTGCGTAATTATACTGCGTCGAAGTTTATCTGTCTCAAGTTAATCATTTGTAAATTGATTTAAGTGCAACTTACCTTGATTATTTATTTCTTTTATTTAATTATTTCTGAGTATTTTCCTATTTCTCTGATAAACAGGTATTGGAACAATAATTTTAAATACAATTTGGTATATAGTAAATTGGGTGCCTCAATCTGTTAACGGTAATCCGTTTGCCTTTGTTTTCTATTTGGATTTGCTCTGATGGCGACCTGTATGTCGCCTTCTTATACATTGTCTGATACTCGGACCCCAATGGCGGTACTAACTGTTCTTGGAGGGAGAGTGTCAATGGAAAGTCACTTGGGGAGAGTATGCTCCCTCAAAGTGTTGGACGAGAAGAATGGATTTTGGGGTTCTGGCCAAAAGATTGCTTCAAATTTGCTTCACGTTAGATGTTCGGCAAACTCTCACAGTGTCAACCAATATCACAGTAAAGACCCATTTCTGAATCTACACCCTGAAATTTCCATGCTTAGAGGTGAGGGAAACACCACATTGACTAATCCAAGAAAGGATACTTCAAGTGGGATTGCTACTGAGGACTTGAGAGATTCCTCAAGATCAAGCAACTACAATGAAGCGAAAATCAAAGTCATTGGTGTTGGAGGTGGCGGGTCAAATGCAGTTAATCGAATGATAGAGAGTTCAATGAAGGGTGTGGAGTTCTGGATTGTTAACACTGATGTTCAAGCCATGAGAATGTCGCCTGTTATTACCGATCACAGGTTGCAAATTGGTCAAGAACTAACCAGAGGACTGGGTGCTGGGGGGAACCCAGATATTGGCATGAATGCTGCCAAGGAAAGCAGAGAGGCGATAGAAGAGGCAGTTTATGGTGCAGACATGGTCTTTGTGACTGTAAGTTTAGCTTCTGTTCATCCAATGAAATTTCCAGCATAAATTGGTTTGTATAGTAATATTATAAATTTTGTAAAGAATGTGTGGATCTGAAACTGTCTTCTTTATGTTAGGCTGGTTTCTGGTCCTTTTCTTGTGAAAGTTTTAACTTAGCATTAACAATAAAAGAAACTGCTTACAACAGGAAATGATCTCAGCTATATGCCCTGCCCCCCCTCCCCACATATATATATAGCAGATAAATGTTACAGTCATCAAATGACTTACCTTCTCTTGGTGACCACTGATAAAACTGAATCTACTTCCATATTCAAAGTTCATACTATGCAGATGAGTAATGGGTTTGATTAGATTGATGGACCTATGTTTATTATGTGTACTCTTTAGCTGTTTACCATATTAGCTTGCTGGAGTAATTCATGTGTTTCCTCCTCTACAATTTGGTCTATAATTGTTGATTAGTTTGTTAATCTGCAGTCTTCTTTATATCGTTCTTCACTCTCAATGGCTACAAGTAGTGGATTACTACAGTTGCTATAAACTTGAAGAATCTGGATCCTCTGACATTCAATGTGATCATTATAATTGTTCTGTTTACTACGGTCTTGTTTATTCTTTTGTTGGCGGTGCTTCCATAATGTCATAGCATATTGGGTCGAGGCTTCTTCCTTCCATAATCAATTCTGGAATTTCTAGTTATGCTGGTGTTTGGTTGATTCTAATGACAGTCAGCTTCGTGAATTCATGATTTTTCATCATTTTAAAAAGTATTTGAAACTTAAATTTAGTGAATTATGGGTAGGTTCAATTCAAATTCCGTGTGGTAATTATGCATTTCTAGTTGATTAGGTGAAGGTGCTGGCAGCTGAAATTTACAGAATCTACTAGCTGCAAGTTCCTGACTTTAGATGGTAATCAGTGCTGTTGCTGATGTGCAGGATAAGTTACCAGATTTTCTTTTGTACTTGCAGTGAAACTATTATTATTATTTTTTCACGAGACACTTGTTTATTATTTTAAATTAGTATTCTGATATTGTTCATAAGTATCAAGATAAACAGTCCGCGTTCATTCATTGACATGGTATGGAGTTTCTGCTAAGAAGGGATAATCTAGTGCTTGGCCTGTCGATATTTTAGAATTTGCATGTGTCTAGTATGTTAGGACCCACTGCTCCACATGCCACACACTTGATGCTCAAAATAAAAAACAACAATACTGGATTTATATCTTGTTCATGAGCTTGCAAATAAACAATGAACTTTCACTGGGTAAAATCTAATAGATCTACAAATTTATGTGGTATGAAATCAGCAAACCGCCTGATGGTTTTGTTTAAATGGTAACTTTGTAGTACAAAGCATGGCAAGCTTTCATCTTTCTATTGCATCTCTAGTTTTTGTTCCATACTTTTAACTGGTACTTTAAAAGATGATGTGCAGGCTGGAATGGGTGGAGGAACTGGCACTGGTGGTGCCCCTGTAATTGCAGGGGTTGCGAAATCAATGGGTATCTTGACTGTTGGTATTGTCACAACTCCTTTCTCTTTCGAAGGACGTAGGAGGGCAGTCCAAGCCCAGGAAGGAATTGCAGCTTTGAGAGACAACGTTGACACACTTATTGTCATTCCAAATGACAAACTATTGACTGCAGTTTCTCCTTCTACCCCAGTAACAGAAGCATTCAACCTAGCTGATGATATTCTTCGACAAGGCGTTCGCGGGATCTCTGATATAATTACAGTACGGAATGCCTAGTAACTTGTCATTAGAACTATCATTATTATCTCTGACATCATGTTAATTGAAAGTAAAGGAACCTCAAACTTGTGAAGTGTTTGTAATTTTCATTTCTTTTAGGTTTTTCCTAGGTAGGCTGTAGGTAGTAGGTGCATAAAGCATACCTATGTTGTATCACTTTTTATCCTCCTGTAGATAAGGTAATTATTTACTTATACTTTATAGATAATTATAACGAGAGGGTTAACATCTATACCTTTAGTTTACGGTTAGAGTCCTTCTGGACCCAAAGGGTTGATCAGTTATACTAAAAGCTATTGCTCCATGTAAAACAGGGAAGAAAAACTCATCATTTAACCCCACTATATGGGTGGTTTAGAACCTTGAACCTTGATTGTCGATGCTACAGCATATCTGTGAATACCTCTACAATTTTGAAAATGGCTGTGTGTATCTAAAGTAAATTTTGTTTGCATATGCAATCATCAGATTCATCCATTTTTTTTGGGTATGCGAATTCACTGAATTTCCTTTCTTCAAAAAGGTGTGATCTTTATGAGTAACTTTTTTTTTCATTTATCTAATATGAGTTGACTGCAGATTCCTGGACTGGTGAATGTCGATTTTGCTGATGTGCGAGCTATTATGGCAAATGCTGGGTCTTCATTAATGGGGATAGGAACTGCAACTGGTAATTTTAAGAAGCTATCTTGGTTGAAAAATACTGTGTATGTCTGAATGTGTGAAGTCTAGTTGACAATAGCTGATGTGCTGGATGGTTCTCTTTTCTTTTCCTATGTGTCTTAGTGTCTAGCTGGAGTAGCATCTTTATAAACTGAAAGATAATTATTCTTTCTCAATCTGCTTTCTGGTGGGTTTCTACAAGAAAATGTCAGCTTTATGTGGAACTTTTCATGGGGTGTAGTTTCTCAACAGCCTTGTTTTCTATAATCATCTGTCATCACTAATTTGTTGCCACCAGTTGGCCCTAAAATAATTTGATGGAGCAATAGCCAGATGGCTTGGTTATTGCAATAGTTTACGACAAGTGGATGTAGAAGAGGTAACCCATTTAATGTACAGTGTCCTTCCATGAATATATCCTCTGTGGACTTGTACTTTTCTGACCTCAATTTGACTTGATTTGTCATGTGGCATTACTATATATGCCAGAAACCAAAAAAAAAAAAAAAAAACTTGGATTTTTATTTATTTTTTAATATTTGATGAATCCTATATATCATGGCAGATCTAGAAGGAATCAATTTAATTACACCCCTGGCATATTATGGTTTGTGATGATCTCCCATAGTGTCATTTCCTGAAGGCATCCTCTTCATTAAGCTAATTGGCTAGCTACTAATCATTGCAATCTGATCAAGTGCTGATGCTTCCAATATGAGTTATATAATGCACTTCTTGCTGTGTAGGGAAAACCAGGGCAAGAGATGCTGCACTGAATGCAATTCAATCACCTTTATTAGATATTGGCATTGAGAGGGCTACTGGAATTGTGTGGAACATAACTGGTGGTAGTGATTTAACTTTGTTCGAGGTAGCACTCTCTGTCTCTGTGATGTGTGTTTTACATATTATTTTCCTATTTACCTCATCTTCACTTGGGCATTTGCTAAATGTAACCTATGTGTTTTAAATTATGAGGCAATTAAGAGGCAACTGCTAAGATATTCCAAAGAACCTTGCAGTCTACAGCCTGCTCAGCCATAATTTTTGTGGAAAATCTTTACCAACAAAGAAAGCTTGCATCTTAAAAAAGTTCCATCCACCTTGTTACCTTGAGGATTTTTCAGTATTAGTGCCGTTTCTCACATTAATAAAAGAAAAGGATAAATTCCTTATATCCTCTTCTCTTGCCATGTTTGCTTATCAAGACAGCAGTGATGACAATTTTTTTTCCCGATGAATGGGTGATGACATTTATTTTGCATCCACAAGCATGTTTCTGTATCTTTTTTCATTTTCCTCCCTATGCTTATTCGTACTTCTTTTTCACCTATAATCAGTATTATTTTGAAGGCTGTTACGAGGCATGTATGGGCCCCATCATCAATATTGCTTCACCATAACCTGCTATTGTGAGGTCCAATTTGCAGGTTGTATCTTAATGCAGTCAGTCACTTAAAAGTAATGTGACAAACAATTATTTATTTGGATTAAACTATCTTATCAGCTTCTTGTGCTGTGAAGCCTGTGATGGAATACCAAAATTGCCTTACTAGATACTTTTTTTTCTTTTTGAGAAATACTTATTGGATATCTAATAATACTCATTTATAGGCGGATTATGATCATGTTATTTTGTAGTCAAGTCTATCGTGTGGTCACTCTCACTGTGTGCTCATTGAATTGAGAAATGCTTCCTCATAACCTCTCGATCCAATGGCTGAGGATGCAAGATCGCATGAGAGTGTCCTTAAGATCACATGAGGATGCTTCCTCATAACCTCTCGATCCAATATCTGCTCCTTGATGTCTCTTCTCAATCTACTTTGTTTTTGTATGGGATTTTTACAGGTAAATGCTGCGGCAGAGGTTATCTATGACCTCGTAGATCCTAGTGCCAATTTAATATTTGGAGCAGTCATAGATCCAACGCTCAGCGGTCAGGTAAGTTACTACTGATTCAAACATGAACTTTATCTGTAATAATTACTGCAATAAATCAAGCGTTAGATTGAGTGGGATATCCACCACCTCCAAAAGGAATGCGGCTGATCTAAACAAGAAGGTATTAGGAGAGAATTGTTTTAGTGAAATGGTATTTCATTGATACTGAGAATGATGCACACGTACACTAATTATAGGCTATACAAGGCATTAAAAAAGGAACAGAATAACTATACAACTAATATTCCTTATTTACAGAGTTGACTAGGCATATATTTAAACATTACAACTAATTTTCCTTATTTACAGAGTTGACTAGGCCTATATTTAAACATAAAATACAGCTAGGCAATCCCTAGAGATCAGCAATAAATCTCAGCCAAATATTCTCCTTTCCAACACTCCCCCTCAAGCTAGTTTGAAGATATCTTCCATAGCCAGCTTGCCTGTCAATTTCTCAAATAGTTTCTTGGACAAACACTTGGTAAGAACATCGGCAATCTGTTCATCAGTTGGTATATAGGTCATACAAATCTGTCCGTTCTCTATTTTATCCTTGATGAAGTGTTTGTCTACCTTAACATGCTTGGTTCTATCATGAAGAGCAGGATTATGTGCTATTGAGATTGCTGCTTTGTTATCACAGTATGCCTTTATCGGAGAGGGACTTGAGACCTTCAGTTCGTCTAAGATTCTCTTAACCCACAACACCTCACAAATTCCGTGGGCAACTGATCTAAATTCGGCTTCAGCACTGCTTTTTGCCACCACATTTTGCTTTTTACTACACAAAGTAGCAAGGATTCCTCCAACAAAAGTGCAGTAGCCATACTCCCAGCCCAGTCTGCATCTGTATATACTTCAATTTGTAGGTGACCGTGCTTTTCAAACAGTAGGCCCTTCCTTGGTGATCCCTTTAAGTACCTTAGGATTCTGTACACAGCCTCGAAGTGTTCAGGACCTGGTGAGTGCATAAATTGACTTACCATGCTCACTGCAAAAGCTATATTTGGGCGAGTATGCGATAGATAAATTAGTCTACCAACCAGCCTCTGAAATTGTTCCCTGTTCTTCACATCTTCGGGTTTAACAAATTGGAGCTTCAAATTAGGTTCAGTTGGTGTCTCTGCCTTGCAACCGAGTAGTCCTGTCTCTCTAAGAAGATCCAACACATATTTTCGTTGAGACACGGAGATTCCCTTTTAGACTTGGCAAATAGGGCTGCAATCGAGCCGAGCTGTTCGCGAACTATTCGGGCTCGGCTCGTGAATTACTCGGCTTGATTCATAAACGAGCCGAGCCTGAACATCAATAGGCTCAATTCGTTTGTTCATGAACCGTTTACGAATTGAGCTCGATAATGCGTTCGCGAACATACTCGATTATAATATATATATATATATATATATATATATATATATATATATTAATATATATATATACATACCCAATTATAATATATACAAAAGTTGGGGTCAGATTGTAATTGTATGTAACACATTTATATGTAGATATATATTTATGTTGGGGTCATATTGTAATTGTATATAAAGTTTGTGGTTATTATGTAAATACACCTTTCTTGTCTTTGTATATAAACCCTTTTATGTAATGTTTAGGGTTAATAGAATATCTATCCGCCTCCATCTCAATCTGTTCTCTCTCTCTCATCATTGACCACAGTGACTAGGCGCCTCCATCTCAGCCTCCATCTCAATCTGTTCTCTCTCTCTCTCATCATTGACAAGTGACCACCCACAAGGCAACAATATCTCTGCCTCCATCTTAATCTGTTCTCTCTCTCTCATCATTAACCAGTGACCACCAACGAGGCAACGATCCCCAACCATCAACGAAGAACGGTCGTCGGGATCTCACTCCCTCATCTACCCTCTCTTTTACCTCCGGCATCCCTTCCGTCTACCACTAGTGGCTTCACTGCCTTCGTCCATCACCACTCAACCCTCCTCTCTCCTCTTCTTTCTCTCTTTATATATATATATATATATATATATATATACCAACCTCCACTGGTGCTAACATCGGCCTTCTCTTTTCCGGCCGTTCTATCTCTCGCCGTCTCTGTCTTTTTCGGTGACCAAGGCGATTCATTGTCGGTCATCATCGTTGTGCTGATCCGATTTCTGGCACTGAGAGTTGTCGCCCACGAGCTATCGAGCTCCGGCTTGAAACTCGTCAAACATAGCCCGAGCCGAGCTCGAACTAAATTTTCTAGGCTTGACTCGAGCTTGAGCCGAGCTCGAGCGCACCATTAATCGGCTCGACTCGGCTCGTTTACAGCCCTACTGGCAAACTCCATTCCAAGAAAATACTCTAAGGCTCCCAAGTCGTTAATCTCAAAGTCATCAGCAAGAACTCTCTTGAGTCTTTTGAGTTCAACATGATCATCACCTGTTAATATTATATCTTCAACATAAACAATCAAAATAGCAATCTTTCGTTCTTTTGAGTGCTTATAGAACATAGTGTGATCTGCCTGACTTTGTGTATATCCGTTGCCCTTTACAGTTTTCCAAATCGCTCAAACCATGCTCTGGGAGATTGTTTGAGGCCATACAGGGATTTTCTTAGTCTACACACTTTCCTTTCACCAAGACGTTCTTCAAACCTCGGTGGTAGGCTCATAAAGACTTCCTCTTCCAAATCCCCGTTTAAGAATGCGTTTTTTACATCTAGCTGTTGTAATGGCCAATCAAAACTAACTGTTAAGGATAGTAAGACACGGATTGAATTAATCTTTACGACCGGAGCAAAAGTCTACTGGTAATGAATACCGTGTGTCTGTGTAAATCCTTTTGCCACTAAACGTGCCTTGTACCTTTTATTACTTCCATCAGCTCTACACTTAACTGTAAACACCCATTTGCATCCTACCGTTTTCTTCTCCCTGGGTAAGTTAACTATCTCCCAATTCTTATTCTTTTTCAGAGCATTCATCTCTTCCAAAACTGCCAATTTCCAATCCGGATTATCTAAAGCTTCCTGAATGGTTCTCAGGATAAATAGGTGGGAGATTTTTGAGGTAAAAGCTTTATGAGACTTAGAAAGCTTACGGTAAGACACATATTTAGCAATAGGATGTTCTGTACAGGTTCGGACTCCCTTTCTAAGTGCTATAGGTACATCAAGATCAAAAGCAGTAGGAGTGGAATTTGACAAAGAAGGATTACAGTTACCTGGAGTAGTAGATGGACTATCGCTCGGAGACAGTGGTTGGTCTTGTGCTAGAGTTGTAGGCAAGTCTTTATTTTTTTAATGAGTACTCCTAGTGTAAACACGGAGCATTGAGTCTTGATTATTAGAGGTGGAAGGATCAAGAACAGGTACGGGAAAGAAGGTATTAGGCAGAGGAACAGCTAAGGTATTAGGTAGAGGAACAACTGTTTCCCAAAACTGAGCTTCATTATTCACTATCTCCCCTTGAAGATAGTTTTGTCCAAAGTAAGGCTGACTTTACACAAATGATACATCCAGACTCAAAAATGTTTTTTGTTTTAGGATTATGACACTTGTATCCCCTTTTATTTGGCGCATAACCGATAAACACACATTTTTCTGCCCTTGATCCAGTTTGGATCGAAGCCTACCAGGTATGTGAACAAACACAGTGCACCCAAAAATTTTCAAGGGTAAGTCGGAGAAAAGTCAACATTCAAGGAAGAAGTTTTTGAAACACTCTAAAAGTGTAATATATTTTAAAATACAAGTAGGCATTCTATTTATCAAATATGATGCTGTCAAAATAGCATCTCCCCATATATATTTTGGTACTTGCATTGAGAACATAATGGCATGTACAACTTCAAGTAAATGTCTGTTTTTTCTCTCGGCAATACCATTTTGTTGAGGAGTATCACTACAAGTAGATTGATGTTGAATCCCCTTTTCCTTCAAAAAATTTTCCAAAAATTGATTGAAATACTTAGTTTCATTATCAGAATGAAGTATTCTTATTTTTGTTTGAAATTGGTTTTCAACCATATTATAAAAAAAATTTAACAAATTTTCAACTTCAGATTTATCATTCATCAAATATACCCAACATAGCCTAGTGTGATCATCTATGAAAGTTACAAACCATTTTTTTCCAGAAGATGTGGTAATTTTCAAAGGACACCAAACGTCACTACGAATTAAGTAAAATGGTTTTGAGGCACAATATGGTTTTGAATTGTACATAGTACGATGGCTCTTTGATAAATGACAACTTGACATTGAAAAGATGAACAATCCACGCTTTTAAATAAATCAGGAAATAGATACTTCAAATAAGAAAAACTAGGATGTCCTAGTCTAAGATGCCAAATCATTATTTGTTCACAGACACAGAGAGAACTAATACTAGTACCAAAACCTTGAGCTTGTTTATTACGGAGGAAGTTGTCATCAAAATAGTAAAGACTGTCCACCATTCTAGCACTGCCAATCATCATCCTCGTGCTTTGGTCCTGAAAATCACAGTAAGAGTCAAAAAAGGTAACACGACAATTAGAATCTTTAGAGAGTACTCACAGATAAGAGATTACAGGCAAGATTAGGGACATGAAGGACAGATTTTAGGGTGATTTTTTCAAAAATTTTGATAGAGCCTTTTCCTGCAATAGATGAAAATTTTCCATCTGCAATTCTAACATTTTTATTACCAGAACAAAGCGAATAAGAACGAAATACAAGAGAGATTTGTCATGTGATTAGAAGCACCCGAATCAATGATCCAAGGTGTAGGACTAGAATGACAAGAGAAAGCACTAGAGTTGCTACCTGTTTGAGCCAGAGAAATATAAGGAATACCAGACTCTGGATCGGATTTCAGCAGCTTCAGAAGATGATCCATCTGCTCTTTACTGAAGGGACCAGGATCAGCCTCATTTGCACGATCAGATTGGTCAACAGGCTTGCTGCTCTTCCAGTGGGCGGGTTTGCCATGAATCTTCCAGCATGTCTCACCTGTATGATGGGGTTTGTTGCAGAAATCACAC